CGTGGAGCTAATCTATGTTGTTTTATTTTCTTCTTTTTCAAAGGAGCAACAGAGTCTAATTTTATTCGCAGCGCATCTGTAGCACTATCAACAACATGATCAATTTGGGGTGGTGTACATTTTGTATAAGTTTCCTCCCCTACATGCAGACATGCTATCGAGTTAAGTATTGGTGGAATCTCTTCCTTAAATTTGGCTATAGCACTAACAGATAGGTTTCTGCTGCAGGAGCTTTTGGCTAATGCTTTGTAGTCTAGTAACAGTACTTCAAAAGTTACTAAGAAATGGTCGGATAAAGCAGGATTATGCGGTTCGACTAATAGTTGCTCAATTTCAATACCATAAGTCAGAACAAGGTCAAGAGTGTGATTATAGCAGTGGGTTGGTTTATTTACACTCTGACAGAAACCAACATAATCTAATATAGAGTTAAATGCAACAGTAAGGCTATTTTTATCATCGTCAACATGAATATTAAAGTCACCTACGATAATTACTTTATCTGTTTTAAGTACCAAAGTTGATAGAAACTCAGAGAATTCTGATAAGAATTCTGAATAAGGACCTGGTGCACGGTATGTTATGTTTCACCATCCGTTCCAACATCATGATTTATTCACTTTAGTTCTTGTGCTTTTTCGATGTTATAAAATGGCCCAGATAATTGATCCATTAAGGCACTTACAGAGTCAGGTTTTTCAAGACTATGTTAATTATTTGTAGGAGGAAATAAATGTCATGGCTAAAGTGTATTGAAAAGCAAACACTGTGGTGATTTGTTTTAACGTGCTGATTCAGTTCCAGGGTTTTTCCTGCTGAGCGTTAAACCTTGTCTTATAGGTTCAGAAGACGCGTTGTGCAGCCAAGGCAACCAAGGAGAGCTCCGTATTACGGCAGCACAGACAGGTGTGGAGCAGAGAGTGCCCCAGGCTGCAAAAGGCTGAGTAAGAGCCCCATATTACTCCCTGTCATTATCTGCCGCAGTTTTCTGGCTATTACACCACGCAAAACCGTTCCACTTAAGCTCCATTGAGCCCAGGCAGGACCCTGCACGAAAAAAATAGGGTTTAGAGAAAGAGAGGGGACAGCAGCCTGGGGAGAAATACTGTATGTATTAGGGAGAAAACAAGAAGAGAAGAGATAGAAGATTCCACATGATTTTCCTGCAGTGATGACATTGAATGTAAGGGTGAGAAACAGAGAGAAGTAGAGGGTTTGAGCTGCGTGGTGAAAGTAGAGTAAAGTGAATGGAGAAACGTGCTTCCTCTGCGTCCAGAAGTGTGGGGCCCCAGTGGTGTCATGCCTTGTGAAGTGAGAAGGGCAGCGCTAGCTCTGGGGTGCAGCGTGTTTGGCTGCGTAATGACTGTGTCTGAGCCACCCAAGGTTAATGATGTACACAAGCGTGAGCCTCAGTAATGAGCCTACTCATAAAGAAGTGCCACTGCTTGGAACTCTCTAGGCATACATCTAGTTAAAATACCATGGGATTCAAAAGCCTCCTTGTCAGATGGTAAATCAGGCAGATGTCTCTATGGTAACTTCCTTTATTCACAATCATGTCAACCCCCGAGCCAGTAAGCAGCAAGTCAACAATCTCTGTAGTGCTCTCCGTAGGGCTGATGGTGTGATACTGCCCACAGCAAGACAGCATGTTCACATTTTTTGTGAAAGATTATTCCAGTTGAGTCTGAGATAGTGGGTGATAATCAGAAGGAAGGATAGATCTGGTCCCAGCCTGTCCCCATATCTCCAGAGATGAATCCCAGTAGTCAATGTAGTGGTGAAAGGTAACTAAATGCATGTACTTAAAAAATGTTAAGTCATTACTAAGTTACTTGAGTTTTTAAATGTAATTTTTAATTACATTCTTAGTTCTAGTTACAAATTAGTTTGCAGGTTAAGATTATTAATATAAAATCTAAAAACTTTAACAATAAAGGTGTTGGCCCAACGTTTAACCAAGTCAACATTTGAAGTGACATTTTATCGCTGTCTTAGCGGGTATTCTGATTTTGTATTATGTTATTTCTTAATTGTTGGCTTAGTAACTTAATGTTGTTGTGTTTAAAACAGTTTTCCCTTCCTCTCATGAAACAGGGAGAAGGCTGAGAATGACATCAAGGATTTTCTTCAACAGCTCAGGCCAAACGGTAGAACAGACACTGCCATCTTCTCCCTTCAAGATTTTGGTAAACAACAATAACCCTTTGATCCTTTTCATTTTACTGTTTATAAATTCAAAACTCACATGCGCCCTTGCACGTTTGTGTTGGGGTTTAGGGGTGCTGCTGGAGAGGGAGCGTGAGGCGTTCAGGAAAGCCACGGTGGAGCCTGTTCTTCAGCTCAAGGTCGACCTGTGCTTCAGACTGGGTGAAGCACAACGTCAGGATCTCACCACGAATCAATCCGACTGGGAAGAAGTTAAACAACAGGTATCTGAGTGAAATAAAATAAAGATGGATGTCCACCGTGACATTGATAAATGAGCTTCATTTGTAGAAAGCGTGCAATATTTCTAAATCTAGGATCAGAAAAATAGACATATCATTTCTGCACCTGGTTTTTTTAAAACATTTTTCAAGATTTGAGGATTTGCTTCTTACAGCTCATGGCCTCAGATGTTAGGGAACTATTGAGGTACCAAAACAGTATGTCCTGCACATCCAGCAGAAGTTTAAACTGTCCTGCGTGTTCACACAAAGATTTAAGCTTGCACACAGTCATATTCACTGCTATTGAATCTCTTGTTTGTTAGATATCCCTCCCGAAGTCACCAAGCCTGCTTTTGACTCTCAGAGGCTTTTTGCAAGCTGCAGAGATGAATGGCGAGATTAGGGAGTAAGCAGGGGTCTTTAAAGACAGACCAAACTTGGAACGAGCTTTCTGCCAGCCATTTTGTCTCCTCTGTGTGGATCCCTCAAGCTTGTTTCTTTCCCATGACCCCCCTCTACAGCCCCTGGAAACATGATTGCATAGGCTCAATAGGACAATCCCCCCCGTCAACATACACAAACACACCCAGCCTCGGGTTCTCTCTTTTTTCTTTTGTTATTTTTTTCTATTTTTCATCCCACCATGTTCATCCCAAAACTATAATAATTGCACTGTGCATATTTTACTATAAATTACAAAAGCTTTTAGTATTTCTCCGTATTCATAGATTTACTATGCTAATATCCCTGTCCTATGTTTGATCATAATTCATCATTGTTATCATGCATCAATCCCATTCAGGCTCATAAATACCTGTGTGTGTGTATAAAGTTCAATACTCACTTTTTGATTGTACAAAAAAAACATGGAGCTGTGCAACTTAACTGTTTATCTTCTTCTGATATTTAGCATTTTGGGAGATATGTAGTTACTGATGGATTGCTATTACTGAATTATTCTCATGATAAATGTTTCTGAATCAACAATCTGGCTCGGTTCAATAAATACTGTTAATTTGAGCGGTCATAGCATAATGACAGGGTATAAAGTGATACACGACTACTGTGACCATGTCAGTCTGCTGTGTGTATCCCAATTTGTTGAGTAATTCTTTATTTTAGTAATTCCTTGATGTGCAGGGTTAGATGTGGAAGTATCAAACAATAAATGGTTCCGTAAAGTAACAGCTCATTGGAAGTGTATTTCCCCCAGACACAATAAGGTTCAACTGCTGCTGTCATGATTGTTTTTTTTTAATATGACAATCTTTTTTTTCAAGTTTGTTTTTTCCTTGAATATCCAGATACACTTTGTGAAGGACCAGCAAGATGAAATAACTGCAAAACTCAATGCAGAGTACCAGGTTTTGGAGGAGGAGATCATTGGCTGTGGCTTAGAGGTACATTTCTCACTGCTGGTATAAAGATATCCTCCTTCTGTGTCAGCAACATTGTGATTAAAAACCATTTCTACAGTGTGTCCAATTAAAACGTGTGAACATTTCTTTATATATGTCAAAGATAGTCATGTTGTCCTTTGCAGAAATATCTCACTAGTACTTCAGATGATCTGGTGATCATAGGAAGCTGTCCAGAGGAAGTGTTGGAGTCAGACTGCCCTTACCCAGAGCTGAAGGACGCCCTGATCCAGGCCTTTCACTCGCTATCAGAAAGATACCAGAGCAGGCTGCAGGATCTCCAAGATCAACTGCAGACGACTGACAGGTAGGATTTAGCAGCTAACATTGAATACATGTATGCTGGCATTATATTCAATATCTCACTAAAGTCTTCATATAAATAAGCTTTTAATGATTTTCAGCCATCCACTTTGATAAATAAAGGTATAGGCAAAACTCCAGGGAAGCTGATAAGATCAAGAATAAAGATTAAAAAACTCAGCAGGACCCCAACAGCATAAAGGCACAGTCCCTTCCCTCCCCAGAAGCAAGCTGTTTCTCCCCAGGAGGTTGATTATGTCTCTGTCTCTTGATCTGTACTTCCATATCAGCGCTGTATAGCACTGTTGGCTTATATGAGCAGTATGCAATTAATCAGTATACCATTTGGAATTCAAGTCAGGTGTAAATGTTGCTTTATGATCCCGTCTTCTCTTGGTTGGAATCTGTTTCAGGTTCTGTGGCTGGTGTGCAGATGACCACCAACGCTTCCTGTTCACTCTGTCTCAGTACACTCAGGACCAATCAAACCACAGAGCTCTCTACATGGACCTGCTGCAAAGACTCTTCCTGGAGAAAACTAAACAAGAGCTGGTCAGTTCTAAATATGTTAAAGAAAGAGTATTTATTTGCCTATTATTTAGTTTAACTAAAACCCAATGCGTGTTATATTGTACACATACATACAAATATGCATAAACTCACCAGTCACCTGAACATACACTCAAATACATATAGAAAATATCAAAGATAGATACTGACAGTGGTCATACGGTAAGTACCCGAAACTTGATTTAAGTAAAATCTGTTTGCCACATTATATTTAATTATTTACTTGCACATCTTACAACATTCTCTTGCACTATTTTATTTATATTCTGTTATTCCTTTCACTATTTGTATTGTTTTTATTTTATTTTATGTCCTATATATGGTATATTCATGTTCCATTGTTGGAGGAGCCTGGGACTTCAGTTGTTCATTGCCATATCTACGCTGTAGCTACTGTTCACATGACAATAAAGCCTTGAATCTTGAGTAGTACAAGTACAAATAGAGTTGCATTAGCGAATAAGAAATAATGAAAATGATCATCGGTTATGGGACGTTTTCCTCAAAGATATCCATGTTTTTAAGGGGATTTCTGTTCACACTCTCACCGATACATGTACACCTTGAAGCTGATCAACCACAGTCTGATCTGCTGACCACTGAGCATTTCGAGGTTATCTGAATTGATCCTGTTTGGTCAATCTGGGCTCCTACTGTCCTCTGCCCTTTTTTATTTCTTTCTCCCTGACTGTACTGCACACAAAACATCACATACATGCCAAACGAGGTTGCTGGACACTAACGTGCACTGTAAACTGATGCACTTCCACACACACCTCTCCCCAGTCTGAATCCCCCCTGTAGTGGGAGTCCCATGCTCCCTGATCAATATAGCTCAGGAGCCAGCGCTGAGCAGAGACACACAGATCCGTCTGGCCAATGAGCCGCTCAGCACGCTGCAGGATGTGCCATGTCACCCACTGTGGACACCTCGCTCACGCCACCAGCTAGTATCGCCATGACAACCGCCAGCCGCACTCTCCTACCTCACCCCCACCCAGAGACCTGTCCTCGTATTAGTTCCAGCTGGGTGCCGCTTTTAGAGCTGTGATCGTTCAGCCTATAGGGGGTTCGCCAGAAGGAGAGATGTGTTTCTCAACTGTCTTTATCACACTTTTCAGTTCCTCAGAAAACAGCAAGACTTGATGGGCCCCGCCTAATTCAGATACCTTAATTACATTGGTTTGAATGCAGTTGGTAATCAGTGGTATAGATATAGAGTTGCTGAAATGAAACCCCACTGATTAAGAAACATTTTGGATTTTTTGTGTAGGCTTTCTTGGCATTTTCTATATTTGACATGGATTCGTATCCAGTAAACTTAAACGATGACCCCTTAGTTAAAGTTGTCTCTGCACCTACATGTTTGGCTCCATTACAAAATAAATATCCTGTTTGTTCAGCAGCATACTGCTTGGACAGATATTTCCCTCTTGTATGTTGTGTATTGTATTTCTATGAAGTCAATGTCTCCGCTGTTAGCAATTCTTATTCTTCTTTAGCCATTCTTTTTTTTTTCTCACCTTTTTTTCTTTTGCATGCAATCATTTCAGGGTGATGATAGCATCATGTTCTGCTGCTTCTTTGTCATCTTTAATTATAATGCAAAATACAAAAGCTTGTATTTTTATATCTAGAAAGCAGGTGTGATACATTAGCACAGTTATAAGGGTTTGTGCAGTGTAACAGTTTAATAGCCTCGGTGAGAAATTAGCTCCCATATTGAATTGCTTGCAGTATCATCTAATTTGAAAAACCTCACATTTTAAGAGGGTAAAATTGAGAAGAATAGTCGTAGAAAGAACATTTTGGTAGAAGTTTCATTCTTTGACACAATATCTTTTTTGTGAGAGTGTGATTTCACTCTCTCTGTGTGATCTTGCAGAGACATTTCCAAAGGAAAATAGAGCAGAATCAGCGGGTATAGACAGATTAGTGACATTTAAATTTTGTTTTACTTTTCTGTCTTAATCTCAAAACATTGGGATTATTATGTCAGTGTTCCTAACTTAAATCCTAGACCATATCACTATCTCAACATAGAGCCTTTTTCATTTGTATGTTGAAGTTTGAGGCCATGTTTTCTGTGTTTTGTTTTGCTGACCCAAAGTTAAACTAGTCTTTCAGTTTAACATCAGACGGAGGCACTCCTGCTAGTTTAGTGAGGACATCTCCCTCTACTGGATGGGGCTTTTTATTGTATCTTATCATTTACTTTTTGATGTTCTTTCATCACAATTAGAGGCCATTTTATAGTAATGCCCTCATGATACGGCAATAGTGGAAACATTTCCTAACTCTTACCTTTTCTGAATTAATCCGGGTAGCCAGTTTTATCTTTCCTCCTTACTAGTGTGGCTCAGTCCTTGAGGTATTCTGCAATCTGCAGAGGGAATTTGAATGCAGCACCTAAACTAAAAGTTGTGCCACTTTAAATGTGCACTGCAGACACAGTGCGGTGGATGCTTCAACGTACCTACTGTGTCTGATGTGTTGGCTAAAGTGCATGCAGGCACATATGTGTGAACACACATTGCAAGCATGTACACAGACACACACACTGTGAACACGCTCATTCACAAAAACACGAGGAAGACGAGGGTAGTGAAGGAGACGACAGGAGAAAATGAGAACCAAGGGTGGATCTTCCTAAAGTTTTAAAGTTGCGCATTAATAAACAGGATTTGCTCGGCTGCCTCTGGCACTTCTGTTCCGTTGGCAGATCTGTCAGCTCACTCATTTTCAATAAAACCAGTGAGCCGTCTAATGCCTTCCCACCGTCAGTTAGCCGCTATTAGCCCATAGAATAGATGAATATCATTCCCTCTGTTCCAATGAAGCAGCCAAGTGATGCAGCCTCTGTGAGCGCTGACACAATGATGAATAGCTACAGGCAGCCCTCACACAGAAAGGAACTGTTTCCCTTCAGGACATTTCACAGCCAGGAGAGAGGGGGCATTTGATACACCAGCAGAGCCAGATCTGACACAGAGTTCCCCCTGTGGCCCTGCTGCCATTGTTAAAGACAGTACATCATGTGGGGCTGTTTGTGGAATTATGTTTGCTTGTCATTAATGTCTTACAACCTTACAACACATTGTATAATTCAGCAGTGTTTCACTTTGGGGTCATTACCTTAATCTGGATTTTCTACTATTTTTGTCTTTGATTTTCGTTCAAAGTTTATATGAAGAACCAGTTGAGGAGAAAGTATTTAGATCCTTGATTTTAGGTAATCGTAGTAATGCCTCACTGTTAAAAGAATCAGTTACAAGTAAAAGTCCTGCATTAAAAAGGTTATTCAAGGTAAAACTAGCTAATTATGAATAGCAAAATGTAGTAAAAGTAATATATTATTTAATAAAAGTACCTTATGCAGAAGAATGCAAAAAGAAAACACCAAAACACTCCAAATTAAAATTAAAAAAGATTAATCTGCAAAAGCAGTTTTTGTAATAACTGTGGGCTAGTTTAGTTAAATGAAAACACACCATATTTTGTATACGTTTGTGTTTTTCATGCAAAGATTGTTATCTGTAAATTAACTAACTTAAGCTGTCAGATAAATATAGTAAAGTTAAATATTTACATTTAAATTGTAGTGGAGTAGAAGTATAAAGTTGGCATTAATATAAAATACATATGTAATGTACCTCAAAGTCAAAGTAACTCAAATTCTGCATGCAAGTCCAAAACGTTGTTACATTACACCACTGCGAATAACTAATGCATTTGACCAACAAAGACATTTAGTTATGATACAGTCCAATAATAAACACTTCCTTCTCTGCGCATGTGGTTCCTCCAGATGGAGCATGAGCGTGTGTGGGACTGGCAGCGCTTGACCCAGGCTCAGCTGAGGGTGGTGACCCAGCAGTGTGAGCGGGATCAGGAGGAGCTGCTGGCCAGAGCCCTGGTCACCCTGCAGGAGGCGAGGCATGCCCACCAGGAGGAGCTGAAGCTCCACAGAGGCCGCCAGCACCAGCAGGACATCTGCTCGCAGCTCAGAGAGAAGGTTAGTGGCACACCTTCACACCAGGAGCCGTCACATATCAGGAACATTTCTGACTTTATGAGGCAGCACATTTTTATGTTGGTGATGATAATGCTACAACCCCATGCCTCCAACCAGTATGGTCTCCTTTCAGGAAGTGGATGTATGTGTTTAATCTCATACTTCTGCAGCTTACCCAGTATGAGCTCTCTGTGGTTTACTGCTTATTTATAAGGCACACTCTCACATTAGAGGACGTTATTCAGTCGGTTTTCAATATAAGTAAGCATGACATCATTTCCCAGCTATCACACATGTAGATGTGTTAGTTAGACAGGCAGCAGTGTCTGGCTGTCTGCCTGTGTACAGTATACATGCTGACGAGGCTGCATATTACGCCAGGCTGCCTGACAGCATCTCTCGCTTTAGCTGCCACTTGGGATGGGCTGTGAATGCAAACAAGCTAATAAGGATGGTCTCGCTAACATGATGTTGCTGTCTCTGAGGGGCACTCGTTCACATTCGCACCACAAACAAGTTACTCATGGGAACAAATCTGTGTGTTGTTGATGCAGTGTTGTACAAATTGAATTTGCTTTGTATGCCAGTTTTCGGGGGAAAAAAACTGGTGCTGATGTCCTTTGGCTGATTAGATAACAAGAGTCTGATGTACTGAGGTAGGGTTTGTGTGGGCCATCAAACAGTCTGTCCAATAACAGGGCACATCACTAAACAGAAGGCCATGCCCTGGTTTAGTTTTACAATGTTTGCAGGAACAAGGTCCTAGATCTAGGCATTCCATGCTTTAACCTGTGGACTTGCATCAATTAGTAGTCTTTCTAATCCCAGTGTTTTTCAACCAAACTCTCCTAAATTCAGATCTATTGTGTGGGCATGAAATTGTACTCTGCGGTAATGCCAGCCTGTAACAGGAATGCATCCACGCATGGCACTCTTCTTGCAAAGAACATGTATGGGAGGTCCAGTCCTTTATGTTGTGAACTCCAAAACCAACTATTGCAGGGATGTTTTCAGAGTTCCCCATGTCGGGAATAGGTGTATGTGCTCCCACCTAAACTACTTTCCTTGTGCATTCTTTGATTTTCTTTAGAATGACCATAGTCTTTTATTTTAGTGCTTCATTTCCTTTTTCCGGCAAGGCAATCAAATCTCTTTATTTCACAAACTGCACTTGTAAACACAAATATTTGGAGTTATGACCGACATCACTGATTTGAGTGTCAGGCGTCACCTGACATTCAAACCACTCTCTCTCTTGGAAGACAGTTTCATAACAGGTTGACAATTGATGTTTGTCTCATACTGTATGAATGCTTCCTGTCTCATCTTCAAGGAGAAAGCTGCCGCACTAAAGCACATGCAATCTTAAGGCGTAACAGAACATGCAGGGCGGTATTATAAAGGCTCAAAGGAGAAGAGTGTGAAGGGCATGTTACTCAGCTTTATAGTCTCTGTAATTAAAATGTATTGGTGGAGAAAAACAATGGCAGTTCTTTCTGATAAAGACACTTTAACTGGAGTTCATGTGCTCCTACATTTTCTAAAAATCAACAACTTGGAGATTTGTTTGCTTTGACATAATAACACATGTTGGACAGGTCGTTTTAGCTTCACTGCCATAAACAACTGCTGTAAGTAAAGAAGCAAATTCAAGGACAAAGATCACTTCAATGTTTTGTCAGAATGAAGCCATTTGCCACGACTGCAGCGACTTGTGTTGGGGAGAAAAGACATGCCAGGTTTTTAAAATGATGTAATATGCCATTCATTCCACTTTTACTTTATTCTTCAGAACAACAGCGGGCTTTGACTTTCAGTATAAGTACATCTGAAGCAGAACAAACTACACGCCTCTGACTCTGGCAAACACATTTCAGAGTTGGCTCTCTGAGGCAATGAGAAAAACAAATTCACACTGACATTATCACTCCCATGACTTTTACCACATACACATTTTGTTTTGTTTATGCAGTGCATGTGCACATATCGGAGTTTGTGTGGAGGCTCAGACGGACGCCGGTTTCCATCCAATCTATCTTTCCACTGCCTTGATCATCCCGTCACAGCGGCGAGGGAAAATGGATTCTCCCCCTGTTGCATCTGCTTCTTTAACGTTTTGTTGCCTGCAGCTGCTCCCCCTGACCCAAGCAACCCTCCCGACTCCACCATGAGTCACCCCCCCACCTTGACATCAGCTCCCTTTCTAACTGATATTCCTATTTCCCAAAGTGTGCTGTAAATGATATGATTTCTCAGTAGGCTGGTGCAATAGAGCTAGCAGGCCACCTGTAATTCTATCAACATTTATATTTTATGGAATTGTCACCATGATGATCCATTATTCAAAAGCGGGTCATCCTCAGAGGTTTGCTTTTCTGCATACTGTTTTTGTACCCCATGGGTTACCTGCCAGGAGTGAAGCTTAACTCAAATCAACAACAAATAAAAGGAAGAGGAAAATAAACAACCAAATGGGCTTGCAAATTAGTGAGATCTTAGTGGAAACCAGTAGGCTATGCTGCCCACCTGAGTCATAATGAAATTGCACAACAACACAATCACAGCACCTGTTGTGATTTAGAGTTTGTGAAAAATGTTTTAACAAGAGTTCAAATTGTTATCTTATCTAGCTATGGATGAACAGTTTTGAAAAAGTTAGCTCACAATAATATATAAAGAGTATACATGCTTAAAGTATTGAAAAAACATTGAAATATAATGAAGAAAAAAAGAATAATCTAGTTAAAGGTAGGGTATGTAAATTTGAGAAACCGGCTCGAGATCGCTAGAATTAGAAAATACACGACCGGAGAAAATCTGCCACTTCCTTACAGAGCCCTTCCTCCAACACACACAAACGCGCACATGACCAATGAGGCCACGAGATAAGTTTGTGCACAGATGGAAGGTAGGCCATCCAGTTATTTTAGACGGGCCGGCTAAAATGATTGGTCGCACTTTTTACAATACTACGGCTTCCACAGGTGACGTTTTTTAATGGATTTTTTTTCAAAGCACTTAAGATGTTCATTGCTATCGGGATGTTAAGAGCATTCCATGGAATATAACAAAAAGTTTATCTCGATGCGGTTTCTCAAACTTACCTACCCCACCTTTAACATGAGTTAATTTTCAAACCGTAAACTAAATGAAATAGAAAAAAAGAGTTAGCATTTGTTTACAATGTTTATAATCCATTCACACAGTGTGTTGCCACTGAAGGGCTGAGAGAGCAGTGGGAGTGTGTTAAAAATAGTTTTTGGAGCCACTTGTTTAGACACATTTCTACTATGTAAGGAATAAATGAATTGATCTAATATAAACGCCTCTTGCGACAACTTCTCTTAAGCAGTTTAAGCTACACAATTTTTGAAACAGATTACGATGATAGAGTGCTGTGATCGTACTTATCGGTTAGGGTAGTAAATTGCAGACTTGTTATATTGTGATTTTGTAAAGAAACCCCCTCCATCACGTCTCATCTTCTCTGAGCCTCCGTGGTCTCAGATTAGAGAATATATTGGATGGTTTTTGATCAGTACAGGTCTGATTCTGACCTTGTGAAAGGGAGCACCGCTGCGCTGCCAGCTCTACTCTGAGAGACACGTGTGGAAGGAGGAAATGCAGGGTTTAATTTGGTTTCAGAGGGAGCTTGTAGCCGTCTGTTTTGGAAAGGGCAGGGTTCACACGGGCCACAGATTGTTCTTGACAATCACATATTGGCTATGCAAAGATGGCTGGCTGGATTCATGCTTGTGGACATAGACGCCATTACTAATTTAAAAGTAAATGTTTAAGAAGTCGACGTGTGAAGAACAGCATTATAAATGCGGAAAGGGTGTATTGTGAAAGCAGTGGTTGAAAGTAACGATGTACCTGGACTAAAGTACTGTTCTTCAGTACAATTTTGAGGCATTTATTACTTGAGTATTTCCATTTGAAGCTACTTTATACTTCTTCTCCACAAAATGTTTGAAGCAAATATTGTCCATTTTACTTTTTACAACATTTATTTGACAATATAAGTTAATAAGAACTATGCAGGTTTATATAACTCATAAAAAATATAAATCAACAAATATATTTTGATGTACTATTATGAATTCAAGATAACTGGCAGTATGAAAAGTCATTAAAGTAAGCTCCACCTTTACTAGCTTTACAATTAAAATAATGAACACATTGTAATTATAATCCAGTGATGTAATATATATTATCCCGAAAATCTGCCTGAGCATGTTTAGTTTTGGTACTTTAAGTATATTTGTAAGCTAATACTTTTGTACTTTTACTCAAGTAAGATTACGAATGCAGGACTTTTAGTTGTAACAGAGTTATTCTAAAATGTGGTATTCCTGCTTTTTTTTTTGTAAAATATCTGAGTACTTCTTCCACAACTGGTAAAATGTCAAAGGACATGAATGATTCATAGAAACAATTCATGCGAGAGATTTTCAGTCCAATTTATCACTGACAGGCAGACCCCTTCTTCTCAAATCATCACGTGTTTGTTCTGCACTCTTCTGGCTGCTGTAATTAGCTGGCATTGTTCTCTGGTTACTGTTCATTCAAGCCTTTTATTCTGTCCTTGCTTTCATTCTGCCTCCCACTTACATCTTACTCCCAGGCATCTTTGATGAGTGATTGTGTTTTCCACATTAGTAAATAAAGCCTGGCGGGATGGCAAATTGTTGCAACATGCTCAGGTGGGAGAGGGATGAGTCGCCCAGCAGGAGCAGTGACACAACAATCGAAAGCAGAACGATTTTCATAAGATGGGAGGTTTTCTGCTATGCCGATATCTCATTTCTCATTTCCTGCCTTGCTCTCAATTGTACTTTGCAATATGAAAGCACTGTTACGGTGTGATTAATGCACACTGTCGTCTCAAAGTTTGGATTGATCAATAAATGTTTCAACATTGTTAAAAACTGTATAATGCAGATAAAACATTTATTTTACATTTTGAATAGTTTTAGCCCTAGAATATTAATAATGAAAGGATTAAAAACACAGTTCATTCGATGTCCTGTCACATTGTGGAGGGAACTGTTGTGGCCACTTTGAATTTGCTTTTCAGTCCAAAAAAAGTGACCCTTGATCATTATGGACCCACAACAGTGTAGTTTGCTTTACATGTTTTGAAACCCAGGCTTTTTCTGGTATTAATAAATATTTAAAATGTGGTTTCATAAGGCCAAAACAGTTCAAGTGCTACTCAACTGGCTTTAGATAAGCCAGTCCTTTTGTTAGTATATAACCTTGCTCCCTTTCATGTCATGTGATACCTTGCGTGACGAGCTAACTGTTTAATCAACCTATACTGTAGTGTAGCTAGCAGCAGCAAGTTTGGAAACATTATAAAAAACGTAATAGCTTGCATTTATAATGTTATATGTGTATATATATATATATTATAAAAAAACAATATTTGCACCGCGGCCAATCACAACCTTGTTAAGCCACTGCAGCTGACTGTACCAAATCAATCTTCAATCAATCAATCAATCAATCAATCAATCAATCAATCAATCAATCAATCAATTTTTATGTATATCGCCCAATAACACAAATGTTACATTTGTCTCAGTGGACTTTACAGTTTGTACAGAATATGAATATGGCACCCTCTGTCCTTGGACCCTCAAATTGGAGGTAAAACTTTTAAAGAAACCCCAAAGTTAATGTGGAAAAAATTAAGAAACCTAGGACAGAGCAACAGAAGAGGAATCCCTCTCCCAGGACGGAAAAACGTGCAAAAGATGTTATGTTTAAATTAAAAGATAATATATTTACAACATAGATAGAATGCATGTGTCTATAAATAAGACGGAAATTAATCCAGGTGGATGTCAATAATCCTGTGGGTTCACGACTCAGGACCAAAGCAACAGGCACAGCCACGACTCAGGATCCAGGACTCAGGATCCAGGACTCAGGATCCAGGACTCAGGATCCAGGACTCAGGATCCACTACTCAGGATCCACTACTCAGGATCCACTACTCAGGATCCACTTCTCAGGATCCACTACTCAGGATCCACTACTCAGGATCCACTACTCAGGACCACAGGCACAGCCACTACTCAGGATCCACTACTCAGGATCCACTACTCAGGACCACAGGCACAGCCACGACTCAGGATCCAGGACTCAGGATCCATTACTCAGGATCCAGGACTCAGGATCCACTACTCAGGACCACAGGCACAGCCACGACTCAGGATCCAGGACTCAGGATCCATTACTCAGGATCCAGGACTCAGGATCCACTACTCAGGATCCAGGACTCAGGATCCAGTACTCAGGATCCACTACTCAGGATCCACTACTCAGGATCCACTACTCAGGACCACAGGCACAGCCACGACTCAGGGTCCACCACGACTCAGGACCACAGCAACAGTCACGACTGGTGATCCCCTCCCTGCAGTAATCAGTGTGTTCTCTCTGCACTGTGCTAGCAGATTTCCTGTCACTGAGTGTTCGTGACTAACAAGTTACTGCTCATCATCTGGTGGTCGAGTGGACACAATAGATTCTCAGTATTTGAGACAGTGCGTGGGCGAGTGTTTCAGCGGACAGCTCTGAGCAGTTAATTGTTCCGATGTGTATAATTTTCCTTCTACCAACCCCATTTCATATGGTGGCAGTTATGCAAATATAAAGGTAGATGCATAGTTTGTCATCTCTTAATTTAAACTATTTTCTTGCCACATTCAATTTCTCTCATGTGTCATAATTGTCACTGTTGGAGTCTTGCTGTTCAAATACATCCTTCATTTTCTCCAGTTTGCTGCTCTGACTCACAGCAATAATATTGTTTCAAGATTAGCATGAGTTCATGTGTGTCACTCGCCTGATGTTTGTCATTAAATGAGCAGCAATGGAAAGTTACAATGATGGCAGCTGCAACGCCCCCTGACAGAAGACATGTACAGTTATATTAACAAAGGCTTTGAGCAGGCTGCAGTGTGCAGATAAAAAGTCGATCACTCTTTTGTTATTCTGTCATCTCTGCAGTCGTTTTTGTGTTGCCATGAAAAAGGATGGTGTCCCATTTCCCTTTGAATCCGCAGAAAATTAGATTCCAGTGACAAATGACTGTAGACTGTTCATAATGATGATTGTATTCTCTTTGTGTGTCCTAAAATGCCTTTTCATCCCTACCTAAACTAAAATGACATCCACTTAGCCACTGTGGCCCTCACAGTGTTTACAGCGGAAACTTTAAAGATACCTTTCATTGTGTCAGTGGCCTTTGCAATTGAACTTTATACTTTATACTTATGAGGCTTTGCAAAACAAAGGTAAAGATAGTGTTATCTGTGGCATGTTAGTGTGTTTGTCTGAAAAAACATGCTTTCCAGACCCACCACCAGGTTGTTTTCACACCCCGTCTCTCAAGGTTCCAAGCATCAGGCACACAGGTGTCTTATCTGGGCCAGGCTGGAGTTTGATAGATGGTTTAATTATGTGCGCTTGTTTTTCCCTTTTTTTTTAAAAGAACAAAATAAACCAAAGCAAGTAATTAGATTTTCCGAAGGAGAGGAAGCCAAGCCAAGCCGTCCTCACACTTGCTGTGTGAAAAAATATATCAGAGCTTTGTGTTACACATTAACATTGCTCATGTCTCACATTTTCATGATGTATTTTAGGTCGTTTTTCCTTTGCCAAAACAATGTAGTAAGTAAATATGTCAATAATTTGCACTAAATAATTGTAGTTACCTTTTTTATATTGAAATGTGCTATTGAGGATGCTGCATGGGGCAACATTAGTCATTTGGCAACTGTGACCTTTCAAAATTACTCAATTATATTTCACTAGGGCAATATGTAAATCTATGCCAACACTAACTGGTGAACTTTATATATTAAAACCCAGTTCTAAGGAAAAAAGCCGCAGGACAAAAGGTCAGTGCAGAAAAGTTATGGAATGTGTCACTTATTCACTTCTCAGGAATGCACTCCTACTCACGACGAGTCCATATTGGACTCAGACACAAATGTCTTCATAGGAAACAATTCCAATTTCCAAAGAAGAAGCATATTACATCTCCAGCTTTAACACTGTCAGAGGGAAGTGGATTAGAGGCTGGGTTGTTTAAAGTCCTCTCTCTAACACACAGCTGCTGCTTTTTCTCAGGCGGACATCAAGTATGATTGACTTGATGATACCGCCGGTGCTAATGTGTGTGACCATGTTCATTTGCTGTTCATTCCTACAGGGATTTCTAAGCTCTCAGCTGATAGATCTGTGAATCTGTCTGCCTGGGGAGAATTTAACACTCCTAATCCCTGGCACGCCAAACAGAGGCTGCTGCAATATCAACCTGTCACTTACTACCCACTAATGTTTGACTGTGTGTGTGTGTGTGTGTGTGTGTGTGTGTGTGTGTGTGTGTGTGTGGTGTGGTGTGTGATGAAGTGTGTGTGTGTATTGTGTGGTGTTTGTGTGTGTGTGTGTGTGTGTGGTCTGTCGTGTGTGTGTGTGTGTGTGTGTGTGTGTGTGTGTGTGTTGTGTGTGTGTGTGTGTGTGTGTGTGGTTGTGTGGTGTGTGTGTGTGTGTGTCGTGTGTGTGTGTGTGTGTGTGTGGTTGTGTGGTGTATCGTGTGTGTGTCGTGGTGTGTGTGTGTGTTGTGTGTGTGCTGTGGTTCCCGCAAGCACGAGAACACCGCTCTTGGAAGAAATATTTGTCACTTAATGCGGTCAGTTTACTATATATTCGCAGCTGATTATGTTCAAGCCCATCAAACTTAATTGAATATCATACAAACCAGTGGGGGGCCGGGGGGTCAAGAAATGTGCTTAAAGGTCTTATGTGACAGTACACATTGTTGCTAATACAGTAAACCTCAAGTACTGCACAGTATCTTTTTCAGTTTTAAAGTTTGGATAACATCTAGATGACAGTTTTCTTCACTTTCTGTCCTTAATTGCTCATTTCAAAAGCTCGTTCCTTAGGAGCTATAGGGCTCAAACAACAGACGTTTCTTTCAAATGCATTGATGCGCTCCTGAGGTGATGTAAAAAAGGATTCTGGACCACCTCGTTCCAAGTTGATGCAACATGTTGGCAGGATGGCAGAAGGGGCTCAGCTGGTTGTCCCATGTGAGTGATGACTTTTAAAGACAGCTGTTAGCAGACAGTAACGGCTTCTTTGTTTCCCCCTGGTATGTGTGGTGTTGTGTGTGTGGTGAGTGTGTGTGTGGTGATGGGTGTGTGTGTGTGTGTGTGTGTGTGTGTGTGTGTTGTGTGTGTGTGTGTGTGTGGTGTTGAGTGTGGGGTGGTGTGTTGTGTGTGTGTGTGTGTGTGGTGTGTGTGTGGTGTGTGTTGTGGTGTGTGGTTGTGTGTGTGGGGTAGCTGCAGCAGTGGGCGGGCCAGCAGGAGGTGGCCAAGCTGGAGGCTGCTATAGCTGCTAGACAACAAGAGGAGGAAGAGGCGAGGCTGAGGAGGGAGCAGGAGAAGGAGGCTGCCGTCAGATCACACCACAAAGAAAAAGTAAACACCTTGTCATCTCAATCATATATCAGGCTGCACTTGCTTAATATCAAAATGTCTGCATATTATTGTGAACTATTGTGGACAAAATGTGGAATCTTTTATTCCACATTTTTTTCAAATCCTCCCAAAAAAGATAATAATGTGGCCCTAATCCTCTTCCGTACATTATGATCAAACCAAAAGGAATTAAAACATTTTTGTATAAATGAATTCCATAAATACGCATAGAGAAATAAATATGATATCAAGATAACAGATGGTATTTCTGATCCTGGGCTTAAAACCTCCATATGTTGTGTGCATAACAACCTTATGCATACACATTTATTGCGAGGAAAAACTAGATAAATATAAATTCATATGCTTATTAATCATGCAGCTATCCTCGTGGATCCCAAGCCCTGTGCACAAAAAGAGCAATGATTATAAATGGTTTTCAAAAGCACCAAATGATATGTAGCATGTCAGCTGATGCTAAAACCTTTGTGTGTGTATGAATGACTTTTCACAGCAAAAGATAGAGCTGACTGCAGACCAAAAAACGTTACGTTAGATACATACAAAATGTGCTGCAATTACCTGGGTACTATAATCATTATCTCCGCTAAGCTTTTAGTTGAGTTTATTGGTCAGTAGTTTGTTTGTTTGTTTGTCAGCAAGATTATTGGAACACAACCGGCCATATTTCATGAAACATTACATAGGAAAAGGAACGGATCCGCTGATACAAGTTTTTCTTTTCTTTATTTGAACTGCGTAGGCGAAGATCTGCTCTGCTCTTAGTTTAATTTAGTTATTGTCCTCCCAGGTATAACAATTCCACAATGTGTGTGTGTGTTTGTGTGTGTGTGTGTCTGACTGTTTAATTAACCCTCTCCTCAAGGGCCTGCTTGGAGAGCATGGGCAACCTGAGACACTCTGATTAATGAGAGCATTTAGGCTGCATTGGAATCCATATGATTTAGCACAACAGTCTGCCAGACATTGAAATATCATCTCATTCTTTCTGTTTACACTTATCTGATTCCTGCTCTGTCACAATCAATAGGACATGACAAACCTTAGAGTTTTGGAGCGAGTCGAATTAGTGTGAGTGGGGCTACTGTTCTTGCGGCTGCTGTTAACTTTTTGTCGTTATTCTCTGTAAACTCGTTGTTTTCCCCGCAGGTCAGGCAGTTTTATTTACAGCAGCAGAAGAGGAGGGAGACGCTGGCGCAGAGGGATCAAGAGAGACTCGCTAATCTCAGGAGCCTCATGGAGGAGCAGTCCAGGCGAGATAAAGACAGGTGATTGTTACAGACTGGGACCTTGAGTTCTCAAAGATTTGCTAAAACAGTTGTGAAAGAAAATGCATGGAATACATTCTTACCCATTACAAATATCGCATGGGACACATTTTTTGGATTATTGGCTTACAACCCCCTACACTCTGATATATGTATGTGTTTTTATTAGTAGCAATATCTAGCTTACTGTACTCTTCTGTAGTAACAGCTCTCTTACAGTTATTGACATGACATACAAAATTAAATTAAATGAATTAACTGATCATGCGGATCACTACTCATGTGGAAGCAGTTGTTTAATGACATCTGTGTCAAGCGTCTTTGGGTTCAAGAAAAGCGCTATAGAAATACAATTTATTATTATCTGTGTCTCCGCGGGAGCCTGTCAAGTCTGAAGAAATTACCATGGAGTCATTTAGGGAGACATTTTTGCAGAAATGTAATATTCATTAATGTATTTATTATTGTTTAATCACATTTCTAACCTAACCTGAAGGCCAACATAGTTGTGCTCTTAAGCGGTTTCAGTAAATGGGGAAGGTTGAGGTAAAAGAGTTGTATTGAGGACTCCATATTTACTTCAAAAAGCAACAATGGCTGACACTCTGTTCGTGCTGACGTTCAATGGTTTATATTCCCGGCAGCCAGAGTGAAACACTGCATTTCAGCCTGGTCTGAGGCTACTCTTGAAAAATATAGGATTCTGTGTTGAAAACATCCTCTTGTGTGTGATTTGCTTAGCATTTCTCTGCAGACACTCAGAGACTGACTTTAATACTAGATAATGGTGTTGACATTGGCCGTGAGAGCGCGCAGGAATCATGGAGGGGCTGAGGAAGATATCAAAACACATGATGGGAGAGGAGCTGATCTCTGGAGGCTCCATAAAACCTTCCACAGCCCGGAGGCCTGCTGTGTCAGGAGCGATAAATACTAATGGCAGAGGAAAGAGAGCAGCTGTTCAGCTCTGATGCCTACATCCTCTGGGCTCCTTCTAGGGTGCAGTATCGGGCCGAGATGCTGCAGCGGCGCAAGGAGGAGACGGAGGCGCGGGAGCTGGAGCGGCAGAGAGAAGAAGAAGAAAAGCAGAATCGTTTGGAAGTTCTCAGAAACCAGGTGGATTCATTTCTCCACTTAGCCCTTTTTAACCACATTGATTTTCTCTGTCCGTTCAAAACCCGTACAAGGGAAGACTTAGACCAGGGGTGTCCAAGCTACGGCCCGGGGGCCAAATGCCGCTCGTGAATCGGCCCTCAGCAAATTAAAAAAGTATAATGAAATATGGCCCACAAATGAAACTTGTGTTTTTCTTATATTGTACTTCTCAAATATATATGGAAACATATATTACACAGTAGTGTTCATGAGTTAAGAAGCCAAATGTTTCAAATACATTCAGTCAATTAAAGTTGAAAACAATTTCTAACAAACCTAAGTTGATAAGAAAAAAGCCCAATAACTTATTTATATAACAAGCTTCAAATAAACCCTTCCTATTTCCTCTAATGATAAGCAATCTGAGGCTCCTGTTTTAAGGAATGAGCTTCCAACAAAATAAATGAAACCCTATGGAGAGCTGGGATGTAGGCTGTTTGTTTTCTTAAAGCATATTCAAGTAACAAGCATAATTTGATTTATTTTGCTGACTTATAACTTAACTTATGAGGCAATATACCTCACCTCTAGTGAGTGGCCCAGCCCTTTGTATATTTGTATGTATGTGGCCCTCGGTGAAAAACGTTTGGGCACCCCTGACTTAGACTCTTCCCAGTCTGAGTGGCAACAATGAAACATTATGGCAGTAAGAAAAACGTTATGTTTTCAATATACTGAATATTTTTAAAATGTATTTTAGGTTGGGGTGGTGGCAGAGGCAGACCCGGAGAGGATGATGGCAGATACAGAGGCTTGGAGGAGTCGACAGCTGAATGTAAAGGAGTTTGAACTCCAAAGACCTCTCTATAGTATACACACGTACACAGACACACAGGTGAGGCATGATAACATCTACTATCACCTTTTAGCTTTTGTTTTTTCACACAAACTCTACAGCTGCATGGTCGTTATCCCCAAGCTCGCTATTATATATTAAATTACCTAAGTTATATCCTATGCTTTACATATTATAAGCCTACATGGCCTTTTCCCCAGTTTCCTTGACCATTATCAGCCGTTAACAGGTTTGTTTTAATCTTGGGTTGGACTGTCCCATGACCCGTGAAATGCTGAACGATTATGTAAGCTGGTTGGTTGGTCAATCAATGTTTGTCTTCATCTCAGAATGTGTATACACAGCCTTTATCTCAAGGCCACCCGGACAATCAGTGTATATGTGTGTGTGTTGTTTTGCTTCACCGTTGGAATTTGCTTATTGTGTAACACATGCAATGACTAAACATTATGCAACTCTTCTCCAACTCCCAATCAGTGAGGGATTCGTTTTTTATCTTGTTTGAAGTTGCATAGAAAATCATAAAACAAAGGTGTTTGATTGGGTGTGTTCTATTGGGAAACAGCTGGATACACATCATTTACTGTGGATTTGTTTGTTTTTTAACATCTGTTTTCCAGATTGTGTCTGATCCCAGAGTGCGTGTTGAGCAGGCTCTGAGGGAGGCCGGTCTGCAACACAGCCAGTACGCCAAAGACGTGCTGTCTGTTCTCACACCCCCCAAACCCCCGAGACGAGATACGCTATCAGATCTCAAATTCTGACTTTGTTTGGGATCACATTGTGAAGTCCAACCCTTGTTCTGTTATTGAGCGTGACATTAAATGTGATTAATATATTTAAATAAGCTGCATGTGTATTTACAGTTGGACAAATCACACCCTTTGGGAGAGCAGCTGCTGTGAGTGAATCAGGTGACACGGTGCAATTAATGTTATTGACATTTTTTTTATTGAACTCTACAGCATCTCATGGGAAATACAATATCATACAGTATCACCGATTGATGATAAATATGTAACTTCAACAAATAAAAATGACCTCTGCACATTTATCAATATATATTGACCGCTTATGTTACTTTCAGGATGTTTGCATTTGCAAAAACATGCTTCTGTGGCAGATGTAATTATACATGATCCATTTCTCTGTTCATCTGATAGCACATTCATCACTGAAATACATTGAAGTAAGGTTAAAATAATCTTATTGTATAATAAGAGAAAGCACTAAGGACTAATGCATACATCCCATTCAACAAGAGGTTTGCAAACCTCTAATGGAGGCTAACTATTTCTCAACTTACCATTAAAGTCAAGTATTTAAAATAAACATACAGAACACATTCTTTAGAAAATTAATGTAACCATACATAAATACCAGAGCATCATATATTAAAAGACACAATAGATACTATACACAAGCAAAATACTTCATATTTAAGCTTAATCTTTAAATAAGTGTCTAATACACATATGAACAAGTTCAATATATACATATCCACATATCAGCTATATACACTCTATTTGGGAGGCAGGTGTTGGGTTACGGTTTCAGACAATCAGTCCCAGGCGTTTCTTGATGAAGTGGGACACCAGGACCTGGGGTCTCTGCTGGTACTCCACCAGGACGTCGTGAGTGGAGGTGATCTGGTCTCCGTCAAATCGGTTCAGCAAGGCGACACAGACCACTGCGGCTGGAGGGGAAAAGAGAGATCATCAGTCATGAAGTACACACTAATGTCAACATTGTATCTTCAAAACACTCGTTAACTTTGCAGAATGACGATGATGTTTTGCCTTCAAAATTACCTTTCAGGCCACAGACACGGCACATTGCAGCAAAGACAGTGGACTCCATTTCAATATTCCTCACTCCGGCATCGTAAGCTTTCCTCAGATACTCAAGTTTGTCTTCATTAGAGAAGGAGCAGAGGGCGCCGTCAAGTCGTCCTTGACCTACAGAATCACAGTATCTGTCACTACCTGCCCAATGGTGTTGATCTGTTAAAGTTCTCCATGATTGATTTGATCACAAACAACCTAAGCGTTAGATGGGGTTCATACCTTCATAGAAGTCATGTGTGCACATGGTGTTTCCAATCACTGTAGGAAAGTTTTGAAGCTCGGAGGAGCACTGCAGAAGCTCATTGGCTACCCCCTCGTCCAGCTCAGTGCTCCTGGTGATGACTTTACCCAGAACCACCTGCTCAAACTGGGCGCGGAAGGAGTAGTCCACGGCTTTATCCGTGACAACCACTGTGCCTGGAGCCAGACCTAAAGACAAAGCCGAGCAGAAATACAAAATCAAGGAAACATTCAATGAAATAGAAAAAGTTTGCCAACAGTTTTACATTTAAAAATAATGCTCTTACCGACTCCACCAGATGTTCCAAGACGTAACAGAACCACATCCCGGCACTGAGCGTGGTGCAGCAGTTTGATGAGCTCATGCAGCATGATGGAGATGGAAGGGACACCCATGCCGTGCTGTGAGGGAAACAGAATAGAAACGATTATCAAGACGTGAACATGTTAAACCAGCCGTGCCACTTTGAAGCCAGTAGGAATGAAGACAACTAAGAGTCTTGCTGTGTGATACTTACACTTATAGAGAGCACAGGTCCCACTTTGTACATGCAGTAGCGATCAGTTCCCTCACAGATGTCTATGATTTCCTCTGGGTTTCCAGGCAGTTCCAGCTCCTTGTGGATAAACTGAGCGAAAGCCTTCATTCGATTCGCGCTGCCTCCAACACACGCGAACTACGGGAAATAGAGTAAGAGGACTGTTGGTTTCTCTTATTTGAAACAGTCAATCATTTGTTGTTGTTGTATCCATTCCACAAACCTTGATATCTCCAAACATTTCTGGAAGGTTGTGAGTCTTGGTGCCCAAGCTGAAGTGGTAGAGGATATCCTCCTCCATGGTGTCCAAGTTGGGATTTTTCACTTGGACTAGTTGTCTACAAGATATAAAGTGCACTATATTACAAATCTAAATCCTAGGCAGACTCCGAATTGATTACCAAACACTTGATTTTAAAGAAGAAAAACATGCTTTTTCCAAAGTTAGTTGAGATTCTCAAATACTCACTTGATATAGTCATTGTGGTCATTGCCCATACAGTTAAGTAGAATTGGTGCCATGACAGCAGGTGAGGCTTTGAAATCCAGTTTGAAATGTGTTCCCAAAGTTGTTCTCCTGTAAGACCTTAGCAGTTTTTAATACCAGTTATGTCTGACTGCAGAGCTTATATAGCGGCGACCTCCGGCCCGGCCACTGATTGGTTCCAGAGGGAGGAGTAGCACCTGTTCGTCATCACAAAAACATCCACCAGTCTCAAACAAACAGCAAGATCAATCACGTGAAAAAGGATTGGCCAAGATCCAAAACTTATATTTTTTCTTTAAAAAGAAACCCATCGGAAGCTAGTCAATAACTAACGTGTTATTATGACATAAAGCTTTCCGTAAGAACACTGAGCTCTGACACTGAACTTTGACACTGCAATGCAACACATTGCAGTGTCAAAACAATGACAGTCACACAGAGCTAACTTTACCTTTACCCTGCAAAAATGTAATAGTATGCATCGTATAATTTACTTTAATAGTAATATTACAAAAAATGAGACATTATTTGCTGTTGTGTTTTAATTGTGTTGCATTCATTAAAGTGTCAACGCAGCAGAGCGAATCGAATGGCGTATAAAAGGCAAAAACAAAAAGACACTTGAATATTTTGAAAAACTTTAATTTTATTTATATTATCAAACTTTAATTTCTTAAAGCTGCCTCTTACATATTTTTAAACACAGCAAAAAACAAACACAAGAGTTACTAGTGCCATTTTAACTTAAGGAATGCAGTTACTTTAGGCACCACTAACAAGCACAAAACATTTCAAAGTCTTGGCTTTGATTCAACGAAGCACTTTCACACATGAGTTAAACCTCTAACATCACAGAACAATTGCAAGTTAGTAAAACATTTGATGTGGCTCAGTATGAAGCGGTAAAGAAATTAAGAAAAGGAGCAGGGAATGGCAACTGTTCTTGTTAGAAGCATTCAATGTTATATCCTTCCTTCCACGGCACTGGCAGTCTTTCAATCTGTTGACATGGATATGAGAGTCATTCACTCATAATCATCATCACATCATTTACTTATAATCTCTGCATTACACTGTCAGGACGCATCATTAATTACCTAACCACTTAAATCTTAAAGTTCACATTGTTGGCTTCATTTCATTTTATTATGATAAGAGGAATTTTGATGGCATGATGTAAATAAAACAATTAAGTAAATGAGGTATGGTGACCAGGACGAGAGTAACTCAATCTGTCAGAGACCCTGTGCGACTCACCTGACAAATCAGTGTTGGCGGCTGGTTTCTTGTCTTCTGCGTAACCAAAGCTCAACAGCTTAGACATGTCCACAGGAGCTGGGTTTTTGTCATACATTCTGTAGAAACACATAGAGTCCAAATGTGATTGAAATGTAAACCATTTTGTTTTCATGGAAATCAAACCAGAAGGTGCTTTTGTAGTTTCAAGTATAATGTAATGTTTAATCATCTCGAAAAAAGTGCCAATTAGATTAACATGATATTCGTTTTGTTTTTTACAATTGTCAGTTTTTTAATCATGTAACACCAAACTACTGACAATGCTATTATCAATTAATTTCAATGTACATCTTTCAACCTTCTTATCTTTAAAGCTGTGAAGAAAAAGAGTGTGTAATAATAATTGTTACACACAATGTTTCAGGAAATGCCTACACTGTTCTTTTTACTCTCTAAGTCAATATCTTGCACAAAGACTATGATCAGCTGTTTACTGCACTGCAATGATAAAATAATAGACCATTGTGTTCTTTAAAAAATAATGTGATGTGATGGATTTAAGGTAGGTTTTTATGCTTCTATTTGCCGTGGATCCTTTCAGGAACTTTTGGGCATATAGTATCAAAACCATGCATGCACTATACCCACAGTATTTACCGTTTCGTTTCTGTAGCAGGGTATGTGAGGTTATTTGATTTTTGGTACATGTCAATGACATTTTTCGAATGTACCGGGAACATGGCCCAGCCCAGCAGGCGGCCAAAACAAACAGTTTGAGGTGAATGTCCTGTCTCGTCTGGATTTTGTGTGCAGTTGTGTTTGACCTAAGTGTGCTGCAAGACCATCGGCATTCCTGCATAGTCATCACAACACGGAAGCGTGGTGTAGGTTTTACTGACAACATCCTGTTAAATATACAGACTTTTTGAATCAGCCATATACAATGTGTTGTAATGCCAACCACTAGGAAATGACACAGATAAAAAAAGTCTAGACCAACCTGTGGGCCGCGGCCCCGCATTGCAAGTGGGCCACCAAATCATTTGCAAAACATTATGATTTGTGTGGAAACATTTCATTATTACGATTTGAACCTCTTTTCCTTTTCTTTCTTGATCCTCCTTAGCAACGGGCATTACAGTCCTTGACAGCGGTCTGAACTACTGGATTAACAACGTGTCATATGTTCCGAATTGACCAATCAGAATCTAGTATTCAACCAAACTGTGTAATAAAAATGTCTGTTTGTTACTGATGGCCAGCTCCTTTTCTAATTAAAATAAAAAGTACTTTATTTAGCCTCCGTATTATTTATGGTTGAATGTGGGCTGCGAACATTTTTTAGATGGGCCCCGAGTGGAAAAAGGTTGGGAACCGCTGGTCTAGACAATTATGAAATTGCCTACCATCATCATGGGCTTCAATTTTGTGATAATCACTTACAAATATAGTCAAGTTCCGAATATGTAAGGTTCTGCTTGCTTTTTCCACAATCATTAAAAGATCCATTTAAAATGTTACTGACTTAAAAAAACTGTAATCCTTCAAGTGTTGTAAGGGAGTTCCACTCAAAATGACTGATATGGTTTAACATAAGATCACTGGCCTCCATTAAATCTGGTATATTTCATGTAATAATGTTTCTGAGATGTGTAAAATGTGGCATTTTTTGACACCAGCCGCTTGCCCCGAACGTCATACAGAACAACAGCGCCATCTTGTGACCACATGAACTTACATCCTCTTGAATTTGCTCCTCTCGTGATAATGATTGGGTGCCTGCAACTTCTCCATCTGGTTGTAATGAACATTGTTGTTCTGCTGAACACAAAGCAAAGTTACAGTGCTGATAGATATTTTATGAATGTAAATATATGCAGAATATATATTTTATAATCCTATGTATGCTTTCAATTTGGTGGCATGCTCTCATTTGTACTCCAAACCACTGAGAAAGAAGGTCCACAGAGTAGGTCTGCCTGATCCAGAAACAGTCAGTAACACCACAGTATCAATAAAATCCCTCTATTTTTGTCTTCTATCATATGATCATAATAGTATAAAACAACTCAAGAGATTAAATTAATTGTTATAGTGGTGGCACGTGTGGCTGAATAACGTTTTTTTTATTTTATGACTTTGACATTTCCTTGTTTACCTTCTCTTTTCCATAGCTGCTGCTATCATCCCTCTCCCAGGCGGACATATTGTCGGTCTCAAAGGGGGGCTCTGCTGAATGAAAGGCTCTAGGGTTTTTCATCTCTTCACTGTTAATTATACTGTTGGAAAAAACACAACATAGGGATATGATATGTATCATTCACTTAATTGGAGGAGAACAGTAGACAATTTACAGTTTATGGCTGATTGTTTCCGCATGTATTGTTCCTTCTATTTTACAGTACTCTCAAGCAGTACCAGTAATGAAGCAGTACTGGAAAATTCAGTTAGTAGTAGCGTAATTGAGGTGGTAGGAGTATTATAAATCATCACCTCACTACAAGTTAGAGTGCATGATAATTATAAGACAAATTGTACCTTGGAAAGCCGTCCCCTTCTGATGCAGTGAGGAAGGAATCCAGAGGTTTGTAGGAATCACATTTAGAAGTAAGTGTTGCCTCGTGCCACAAAAGCCCTGATAAAAAAAAGGATCAAAATATATGTTGGTAAAAGTATTAAGCACACTGGACTGTGTCTAAATATAGCACAACAAGATGGATCTACCCTTATGCCCTCCTTGTTTTGCAAGCTTGATATAGTCAGAGTCACTGTCTCGGACTCCGGCCCTCCGCCCTCGGACCTTCTCTTCAGCTACAGAGCTGATAGGGGAAAGTCCTGGGATCTGGGAGATCTGGCCATTTATGTCTACATGCACACAAACACACACACACACACACACACACACACACACACACACACACACACACACACACACACACACACACACACACACACACACACACACACAGTTAATTTGTGAAACTGGGGAAACACATCATATATTTCATCACGAACTACACTAAACCACATTTTTCCCACCACTTCCCACCAGGGTCAGACAGAAGACAGGTCACACTGCCTGCTGATAATGGCTAAGCTAGTTAACCAAATTATTTCAGTTTAAACATTAGTACTTACCAGTTGATGTAGATTGAAGATCGTTACTCATTGTAACTGAGAGATTTCTAGTGAAAATTGAAACAAAAACCCGGTGCACTGTCAATTTGTTACGAACTTAACGTAACTTCTTCATTAACGTTAGCATTAATGAACGACATTAACGTTAGCGTTGGTTAGCTGACCTAACTGCTGTTTAATTATCCGAGCCTTTCAACAAACATCGCGCTGTTAAAGGTATGAGTCTACAGGAAAACAGGTTAAAACAAAGCAATTATAGTTTTGATAAAAGAAAACAGAAGTTGTTTTAACTTACTTTTGGGATTGCACGGACATTGTGGAACAAAAGCAAGAAACGGTACGGAGCAGCACTGTTTGAAACGTCTAACCTCGTTGCCCTGGAAACGGTTTCCAGTTAACACAGCCTGGAGTGCAGCTGCTGCTCTGAGGTGACAGGTAGGAGAACCGTTAGTCGGTTGGTTAGTTAGTTAGTTATTCAATTAGTCAAGTCAGTTAGTTAGTTAGTTAGTTAGTTAGTTAATTAGTTAGTTAGTTAGTTATTCAGTATGTCCAGTGGCGTTTCTACATGTACAAAAGTGGTGGGGCACAGAAAACTTAGATGTCTATATATAAGCTTCTGCAGTGAGGTTCATGGCTGGTGAGGCACTGGCACTGACTCTTCAGGTTTACAAATATTATATTTTGACCTAAATCAAAATATAATATTATTTTCAANTCCATGACACAGGACCGCAGGATCATCCATGATTCCGGATCCCGGCGTATATAGACACCAAAAAGAAAGAAATTTGGGGAAGCTGGGATGTTCCGATTAACCCAGCTTCCCCAAATTTCTTTCTTTTTGGTGTCTATATACGCCGGGATCCGGAATCATGGATGATCCTGCGGTCCTGTGTCATGGATTGCGAGTCCTGGATCTTGAGCCGTGGCTGTGGTCCTGGATCATAAGTCCTGGATGGATATACTCGTGGATTCATCTTCCTATTATACACACATGCATTTCCAAACATTTGGACTACCTATGTTGCAAATGTATTATCTTTTCAATTTACACACGGCATCTATTGCACGTCTGTCCGTCCTGGGAGAGGGATCCCTCCTCTGTTGCTCTCCCTGAGGTTTCTCCCATTTTTCCCTTTAAACTGTGGGTTTTCTCTGGAAGTTTTTCCTTGTACGATGTGAGGGTCTAAGGACAGAGGGTGTCGTATTGTCATACTGATATTCTGTACAAACTGTGAAGTCCACTGAGACAAATGTAACATTTGTGATATTGGGCTATATAAATAAACATTGATTGATTGATTGATTGACATAACATTGGTCATTTGTGTGTCCTTTTAGCAGGAATAAGTTCTCTTCCTTTACACACATCAGGAATAGGTCTACACAGGCATTGCTTCAGCCCTTATTTGTGATATTGTGTCTTTGAAAGGCTCATAAACGGAGTTAATTCAACTGAAACGGTATCACTGTTAAAGCATGAAGGCAAAAATAAACAGCAAAATAATTATGTGGAAACCTGCATGACACGCATGAGACACGTTTTTAGGAATAGGAGGTGGGGGGGGGTGTAAAAGTCTTAATCTACTCTTCATTTATTTTCTCTTTTCATTATGAAAGGACAAGGCCCTTCTTCACAGCGCTTTCCACGCAGCAATTCATTGTCTTCTATCAGCAGTTTTTATACACAGGCCACTGGCTCAGATAATTGTTCAAAGGAATATCTCAAATAACCAATCCATGGGAACAATGCATTTCATATTAATAGGAAATGAAAAGGAGTTAATGTGTTTATCGTTGTCTTTAATGCGTGTCAAACTTTAGGGTCAGGTTTGTCTACAGATCCTTACCCTCAGGCTGTCAAAAACATTTGAGAGTTATTCCAATCTACAGTGCTCGATCTGAAACAAGGGCTGTCTTTAAAGAAAGAGGCCAAATTGGGGTCATCCCTTGCCTCCTCCAGGCTAGGTGATTTAAATGCGCATTGGTTGTCTAAAAAACTCAGCTGGACTACAAAGAATGAGCCTGGAGCTAAATTTACATCAGCTGAATTCTACTCTCACTGTTACAATAACCTAATCCACCAATATAAACACTGTGAACGATCGAGGGCCCAGTACGGTTCCCCTTTCAACCATTTTAGTGGACAAATACTTTTTAAATTATTTGTATCAAACTGAGTCAAAGGAAAAAGTGTGCTTCTATTACTTGTAAACGTATATTTGCCACTCCACATTGTCTTTGCAAATGTTTGGGCATGACACCCTTTCTCATTGTTTTTGTTATCTCTAAAACAGCCTGTGCAGATTTGATCTGTTTTTGATACCTTTCAGATATCTCTTGTGAATGAATCCCAACCAAGATATAGATAAACAACATTATGTGGTACTTTCCAGATCCATGACATAACTCTTTAAAGCTCCCAAATCAAAAATATGGAGTTCAAATCAAAAATACATGATTATAGCCACAAAGGATGATGCTCCGCCAGAGTACCACAAAAACAAAATCTGTCGATTATAGAGATATTGAGTGAATTCAAGCCTCTCCCCAACATTTTGGCTTGTCAGAGTGAAGCACGGGTGTTAATAAAAACATTAATGAGCCCTTGTTCTCTTTTTTTTTTTGTATCGGTCAATAGTAGGTGAATTCTTGGATTGTAGCAGAAGGTAGTGTAATGCAACGCACAAGAACACATTTTTGTTTCATAGTGGATATTTTCAGGACGCTATTTTGTGCAAACATTTCTTCAGTATTCCAAAACTCAAATAAAACAGCAGTGTGTAAATGGAGTGCGCTATATGGTAAAGAGAGGCAATTTTGCTCATAGCACAGGACCCTAAAACTGTAGCAGCCTAATGGAATTCATTCATAATTAATTTCATTATTTACACATGTGCTTATTGTGACAAGTCCAAATGTATTCAACGATAAAGGCACATTGTATGTTGACAACATTTAAATTAAAGATATTATTTCTATGTTTTTGTAAATAACTCAAAAACCAGAGCTGCTGAGAAAAAAATATATGATCAATCGGCAAAAAGAGGGTGTTTGAGTATCTAACAATGCTGCTAGTCCTTTCACAATAATGATCCCCTTGAGGCGACTCATTTATTTACCCTCAATCACATCACCAACACGATATGCTCAGAACGCCTTCCTTTCAGCAGGGCGACCCGATGTGAACATAGCCGTCTTATCTAGGTTATGCAGCGTGCTGGGTTGGAAGGAGACACGGGCAACCATAATGATACTTAAAGGCTCCTGCCACAGTTTAACAATGAAAACACTCCAGGTCCAACAGCCTTATCTCAATTGCCCAAAGCCTTAACTTTTTGCTGTACTCAGGGTTGGAAGACTATGAACTTCAATCCATTTGGTAGAAACCCTGGGTATCCAAATTAATAGTCATGAGATCTGTAATGCTACTGTGTATGGTTGTGATATTACTGTTCTGTTTGATGTGGTTGGACAAACTATAAAGTGTATGCAATGCCTGTTGTCATATGGTATGAAATCCCTTAACAGTATGTGTTAAAGAGAGAGGAAAGAAAGATAGACAAACACAAATAAATGGCACTATTTCCCACTATTGGAGACATGTTGTTTTATCACCTCACATTCAAATCTGTTTTTTGTCAGTTCAAGCTCTTCCTGTGGTGGATAATGAATAGGACTGTTTGCTATTATTGTGTTGTTGCCCATTCTTCTTCATTTGCTCTTGATTCAACATTTTATTAAATACAACAGGAATAGATTTTATAATAACAACGCTGTTTCAAGCAGAGGCAGGATATTGATAACAACCAAATGTTACCTTTAATCCAATTAGATCAGTCTCCAGGCGCTTGGCATCAACAATGGCTTGTAGTTTTTGGTATTCAGCCGGTTTGTACTTTGAGCTGCCAAGACCATTTTTCATCCGCAGTGTCAGTTTTTCTGCATGGATGAAAGCAAATTATATGGCTGAATTAGGATCATTGGAATTGTTGAAAATCTCATCACTTTTAATGTCTGAAGTAAAGTCATTATGCTGACTTCAGCAAAGAAATAAAAAGGAGGTGAAAACAGAGGAACATCAGCGTTAATGGATTGGAGAGCAATTTGAAAAATGACTGGGGAGGGGGGGGGTTAACAGCGGGGCAAACTAACTTTGTCAGACCATTTTTGAGCAGTTCATCTGTGAGTTAAAGAGGCAGGTGAATAAATATAAGCAATGCAAGGCATCAGAGACTTGACACCTGGGGAATTCAACACGGGGACATCCGGTCAAATCTGTTCAACAGATCAATGGGGCCACTGTGTCACAAGTCAGCAATATTTCAGGCCCAGTTTCTGCTGACTTACCCACATCTTCTGCGCTGTAGTTTGTAATGAATGTATTCCGATCCATTCCACTCATTTTTGCCTGCAAAATTAAGGAACAAATAACTGCTTTTATGTGAAAAATACAGAGCTTTTGCAATAAATAACATTTAAGCGGCAGAGGTACCTGGCTTTAGTCAGGTTATTAAGGTCTTCAAGACATTACTAAATCCAATCCAGTGAAACAATTCAACTCAATAAAATCAAGTGGTAGTACTAGTATGCCTTTAAAAATACTTCTTACTAAATTATTAAGAAAATAATTAATAATAATATGTTGCAGCCCTATAGTTCAAAAGTAATACTGGGGCACACAAATTAAACACCTTACAAACAGGCAGGTTAGCCTGAGAGGTGTCACGGTGGAGCAGTTGTTTACCTATCCTGTCAGCTAGCTAATGCTAACAAAGTCTACAGTAAACGTAAAGTCAGATGAATTGAAATATTGAAAACATTAAACAAAGCGAAGTTTTACAGAGCCTCGCACTGCTTCTAAATTTAACTCACACGACAAGAGTCAACTCTTTACTATGCGAGTAAAATAAACATTTAACCCACTAAACCCTAGCTTACCTTCTGTATCCCTCTGTACAGTGACAAAAAAAATGTAACCAAGGAAACTATTATCTGTACTCCCATTGGTTAATTCAACACAGGGAACCTCCTATGGACCGCCCCCTGCTCCCATTACAACCAATCAGGAGTGTGCAGTGCTTTCCCACACTCCCACTGACGTCATGCACGCTCGCTTTGCCTGGGTTTGCTGGTGGAAGCGACCGAGGGTCTTCTTCTTCTTCACGACTATGGAGAAGCGTTTCACTCTTCCACATGCATGGGACTAAACGAGGGGACTTTACCGATGAAGTTACATTTTCCAATGTAGATCCTAGCCGCAGCTCAGCCAGCGGAACAACAGTCCTCCCAAGGTATTTATTATCTCTTTTTTCCGCTCATTCACTTACTGCAGAATAATTGGGGGGAAAACGTAGGGAAAAAATACACGCATCTGTGCGCAAGGCAGGAGGGTATGGACTGC